CAAAGAGCTCACCTGCATGAGGCTGTGGACAAAAATGAAAGCCATAACCAGTGGTTGATGGACCGTAAGAGCAGGCTGAATTGGGGCCTGTGTTGAATGAAGAGATGTTGTGGATGTGAGTGAATCTATGCTCAAGTTATCTCCACCCCTGGGTCTTCTCGTGTGACTCTTGGTCTCCATCACTGGGAAAAAACAGTTTTTCTGTTCTGTTTTGCTCTGCCTGTTTCCTTTCTTGTTGCTGTCTCCATGCATTTATTTTCTCGTGCTGCCTTCTAGGCTGAGACCAGCCCTCTTGTTTCAATTTGCCAAGTCTTCACCTCTCATGTTTGTGTCTTTCCTAAAAACCCTGTTTCTTCTACGATGCCCATTTTGTTCTTGACAATTATGTTCGAAAAACACCCAAACCCACAGGGTCTCAAAGGGCATAGGATCTTGTTTTCCTGCAGACTACAGCTGCACAAATAATTGATTTTTTGGTTCAATGGCCAAGCCAAAAAAAATTAAAAACCTTCTTTGCGTCGATTTTTCTGACACACAAACTGGAACAAAAATGTTTGGGGTCAGATCCATATGTTACTTGAAATGAAATGAAACCTTTCATTTCTGGCTGTCTTTTTACCCTTTTTAGAAATAAAATTTAACTCAACTTCAAAAATGAAATGGGTTCTTGGGAGAAAAGAAACCCCCCAAATGTTTTATTTTGAAAACATCAAGAAGAAACATTTTGGTTTCCTCTTATTTCTTTTAAACATTATGGAGGCCAAATTATTCATTGCTTTCCAACTGGACTTTTAAATGATTTTGGTCAACCCCAAACTCTAATTTTTGGGGGCAAATAAGTTATTCTCACAGCCTGACTACAGAGATGCTCACTGGGGCATTTTTTCCCCCTGATGTCATTCACAAAGTATGGATCATCTTCCCTTCTCTTCATATCTACATAACCCTGTGACAACAATAACAGTTCTTTAGGTGGTAAGGTGTCTTTGGAAAGGGCTCCCAAGTATTTTTCTCTTGCTTTACTGCAGTTACTGTGTAAGTGCCTTGAGGCGGCAACTGGACCAGAAGTCCCAGTTTGGGAACTTAATGCCTTTACTTCTATTCTACTCTATTGTATTCTGTTCTATTCAGATTCTTCTTCCAAGCCCATCACCACGGTCTGAGCATCTTCCGGTAATCTCAGCTGTCCCAACATCTGGATTTCTCCGTGCGTTCTGTTTTCCATGGGCCCATCTTTCTTAGACCTGAACAACTGCAGAGCAGAGACCATCTGTTCATCGCCTGTTCACCAGAGCACCCCAGGGGATGACAAAGTCCAATGGTCATAAACTCCTCCAATACCGTTTTAGGCTGGACATAAGGAAAAACTTCTTTACTGTCCAAGCCCCCAAGGCCTGGAACAGACTCCTCCCAGAAGTGGTGCAAGCACCTACTCTGGACACTTTTAATCAACATTTGGATGCTTATCTCACTGGTATCCTTTGACCCTAGCTGACTTCCTGCCCTTTGGGCAGGGGGCTGGACCTGATGATCTTACAAGGTCCCTTCCAGCCCTAATGTCTAGGAAATCTGTGAAATCTTCTAATTTTTTGTTATTAATTCTGAGTGCTTTCTTGGCAGTTAAACATAGGCATAATAGTAACTGCCTAATAAGTAAGAAATCGCTGATAACTAAGTTTGCTTATGGATGGGGGAGCAAATACATGCAGACAGGAACAGAAGCCAGGATTATCAATCTCACTCTCAACCTGATGCTGATTTAAGGGCAGTTTATCAAGATCATGAAAATTGTCAGTAATTGTAGGTGTCACAGCTATCTGCGATGCTTCCGTATATCATTTGTTGCTTCCCACTTGGTTATGGATTTAAACAGAGATTTCAGGATTTGCGATCACCATTGTACTAGTGGAAACAAAGCTGTGTGGCATGGCTTTTATTTCCATTTGCCTGGATTTGTACTTCCATGATGAGTCTGTGTCTTGAAATTGCGTAGCCTGAGTCAGTCTAGAATAGGGCATATCTGGATCTGATCAGAAAAGGTCATTGTCAATCCGTGCTTGAAGGCAGCACTCATCATTCTTCTGGAGAGGTGTCTTAGACAGGTGGGTTACCTTGCACAGTGAGCTGGGCCCATAAATCTGCTCATCTTTGACCCTGTGGAGAAGTGGGTGGCATTTGTGCTCCAGGATGTTATTGTTCAAAGAAGGATATTAGGTTACTTTGGTCATTTAAAGCAGGAAGAGAGTCCTGACAAACAGTGCATGAATCAAAACGAAGGACAATTACCAGATTTCTTTTCTTTCCTCTCCTTAAATATATTTGCCTGCTTCTGGAAGAAGACATTTTTCTGTTTTGTAATTAGGTAGCTAGTGCCTACGTCCAGCATTACCCATTTCTACGTGGAGTCAGGACTTGTCAGCTGTGTATCATACACTCTACAACAGTAGTACTCAATTCCTTGGGCCTGATGGGCTGGATGAGTGGCACAGGGCCAGACCTGGGACATATCACTGGTTCACAGGACCAATTCAGCATGCAGAACCGTGTCATTTTTGCTTGAGGGATTAAAATGTTTTAAACAGGGATTCTTCCATAAATCTGTGCACAGTGAAGCTTGCAATTTTGGAATGAGAGGATGTGACTTCTCATGCAGCTACTGCCATAAAGTTATGGCAAGTAGAGAACAACTCACTTAATTGCTTCATGCCTCACTACTTTGGCTGTATAATATGGGCCAAACTTACCTCTACAACTGCAAGGAGAAATTTTAGTAGAACCCCATGCCGTCGGTAATGCCATTCTGCCAACATTGAAATACTCCTGAAAACCAGGTGGATTTTGATGAAATTTGCTTTGGAAGAAAACCAAGGAAACAGTTTTTTAAAAAAAGTCCAAATGTCCTGCCTCAACATTGTCAGGGTGACATTTTTCAGTTTTTCATTTGGAAACAACTTTGCATCTTTTTGCTTGCATTACAGAGTATAGCTTCTTTTTAAAAAAAGTGGCTATCTGAGATATTGATATTTCATCCAGATAAAACCCTTTGTGTGACCTGAAACAAACAACAAAACACGTTCAGAGATTTCCTCCATGGGGCATTTTGAATTGGGCGGGTTTTATTCTGATTCAGAATAAAATCAAGTTTCAAAGTCTGAAAATCCTTCATAAAAATAGAGCTCCAGACGGTTCTGCTTGACAGGTTTGTAGAATGGATGGAAGAAGCACAAAGTATTAGTGAATAGCAGGACCATTGTCTGTTAAACTCTGCAGGCAGCAACTGGAAGAGAGTGATATCTCTTTGCAGGGTCAGCTGGTGTAGTCTTTGGCACAAGTCCAGAGCAAGGCTCAAAGTCATGCTTTTGGAGCCATAGCAAATGCCTCAGCCATTTCACCACCACTTTACTACAGCAATAGCTCTTACTTCTAACCAGGACCATCATCCTGGACACCACGCAATCAAGCTGCTCACAAACTATTTGTCTGAAGCCCTGGTTCAGGAAACACCTAAGTGTGCATTTACCTTTGAGCCTTAGGCCTTCAGTAGGAGTCAGGCACTTAAACGCATATTTGAGCCCTTTTTGAAGAAGGACACTTTCCCCAGTCAGTGACGGCTCTATTAGTGCAAGAGAGGCCAAAAAAAGACTCTTAAATTACTGTGATCAAACAGGGAAAAAAACCACATTCTAAGTTCAACTTCTGGAAGAATTCCTGAGAGAGGAGATGAAGGGGACTCTTCACTGAGTTTTAGGCAGTATTTTTGTAGGGCATTTTGTTTTTATCCCCCCTGTAGATTTGCAAAACTGATTCCAATCTTTAGTGCCATAATTTTGGATGCCTTTCTCGCATGTTATAAAATTGCATTGGGATAATTTTCCTGTAAGAGATATTGCTCTATTTCTGTGTTTCATAGAGAGGCATATTATAAAGCACTCAGTAATCAGACTGCAGTGTCAATTATGTTGCTGTGATGCATCAGGATTCCTGGTGCTTTAATGTTTGCAGAGAGATTTTTTTTTTTCTTGTAGATCAGCCTCTGACATGGTCCCTCTTTCCAGCTTACAGGGCATGTCTACACATGCATTTACTGTGCAGTAAATTTACTGCTCAGTAAGCGGATTTAGACTGGCGCCTACATGTGCAGGCATTAAAGCACAGTAATGCTGTGTGTGGATTGACTTGGGAGTAAAGTTAGTCCACACACACAATGTTACTGTGGAGTAACACGTCTACACATGCATTACTGCACAGTAACTAATTGGGCCCAAGTCAGCATGAGTCACCATAGTTCTTGAGAGCTAAACTACCAGACACAGTATAGCTCTCCAGAATCCTCTCTGCATGCAAAATGGCCAAATTAAGTCTAAGGTGCATTGGCAAGTCAACGTCGGAAATCTTGCACTCGTGCCCCATGGTCCATAGCTACCCTGTGAATACAGAGAGGACATCAGTCTCCAGATCTCTATTTGCATTAGCTTCACTTTATATGTTCATTGAAGGGGAAGTCCTGGATGAGTGCTGGGCAAATGTGTAGGGTAAAGAGTAGGGCAGAACATATCTCCTACCCCACAGAGCTAATAGCTGCTGAACCTTCATGCTCCCTCAGTCTTGGTCATGCTCCCTTAGAGCCTGCTCATCCCACCACAGAGAACCAAGTGGCTTAACCATGAGTGGGTAAGGGGGCACCAGCCCCGGTCACTAACTAAGGATGGGCTGTGCGAGAACGGAGGTGGAGTGGACTTAGCTACGCAGCCGCTCCAGCTGCACGGAGCATGGGCTGTGGAGGCAGAGAGGCTCGAGGGAGTTAAACTCCCCCACTTCCACCTCCAAATTAAGGGTTATGTATCACGGTTCACCCTGGGATTCAGCAGCACTTGCAAGGGTGAGGAGGGCACATGAGAGGTTTAACTCTTTGGCTGGAGGACATCTTCCCCTGCTCGGCACAGCTCAAGCCTATAGCTGTGAGGACCCTAGAGCTTCCCTGCCTCCACCCCCTGGGTTCTGGGTACCAGCCAGGGTGTGTAGCAGTCTTCAACTATGGGCTGCCTTTCTCTCTTGCTTTTCTCTCTTGCTGCTGCAAGCAATGCCTTGAACTTTCAGGAAGGTAGGTTTAGATGGAGATCAGGAAGAACAGCAAGGCAGAGGACTAGACACTAGGGAACTTGAGGAATCTCCATTGTTGGAGATATTCAAGAAGAGGTTGGACAAGCTCGGTCAGGGTTGATTTAGGAGTAGCTCTGCCTATGCTCTATCATGGCTATTTCCTACGCTTCTGGGCTTTGCTGGTTGCCATGTGGGGTCAGATAGGAAATTTTTCCCCTCCAGCTGCTACATGTGTCATTTTTTTCGGGGTTTTTTGGCCTTTCTGAGAAGCATTGGGTGTTGGCTGCAGTTGGGGATTTTGATTGGACTGTACCAGAGCTCCTGCTGGGACTTAAATCCAGAGGTTCCCAGCTAGAGGATCTTGCCCCTCTGCTCACGGTCAACCTGATCACCATAATTGGGGTCAGGGAGGAGTTTTACCCTGCGGCCAGATTGGTATGAACTGTGGGTTTTTTTGCCTTCCTCTTTAGCAGGGAGTATGGCCCTCTTCCTTGGCACTCTTGAGAGTCTTTTAACAGCAGCAGGACATTGTTCCCCTGCATTACCTGGGACAGGTCAAAGTGTTGTCTTGTGGTTGTGTCAGGGTTGATTGTGTAGTTTTGCTTATAGGTTAGACAGTGGATTAGTGTAGGTTGGTTTGGATCCTACCTCAGGCAGGGGGTCAGAGTCAATGACATTTGAAGATCCTTTCCAATCCTACTTTTCTAGGATCCTGTGATTCCCAGTGTCCCAACCCAATGAGTATGCCTCTGGAGAAACCCAATAGAAATAGGCACCCTGCTAGGGCTGTGTTATCTTCTCTAATCTACCCACTTCTCATAGAGTAAGGCTGCAATGGTACTGCAGCAAAAAACCTGTACTGGCCTGGTAGGCAGCTCCCAGATTTGCCTGTCGTATAAGTAACGCAATTATTTTTTCCTGTGTTTATCATAGTTTGAGCTGACTTTTTTTTGTGGAGAATTACTCCAGAGAGTCCCAACCTGAGTTTTCTTCTGGCCTGTTTGGCCGATGTGGTTTTTCATCTCTCTCCATTTTTCCTAGGTAGCAGGGATCAAAGGTGTATTCCTGGCGAACAAGAAAATAGAGGACCAAATAAAGACTTTCATCACCTACAACAAGGGCAGAGACTGGCGGTTGGTGCAGGCTCCGGACACTGATCTCCGAGGGGACCCGGTGCAATGCCAGATGGTCAGTGGCAGGACTTTTCCAAAGTGCGATGGACAAAGCCCTACAAGGGCTTCATCCCGGAGCCCCCAGCAAGGCAAAACACTTGCTGGAATCCTACCAGTGTATTGGCTTGAAGTCCTTCCCCCTTTTGACTCCTTTGCTTTAAGCTACTGAAGCTGGTTTCTATTTTCATACATGTTAAAACCCCAGGGGGTTGTTCTGATCAGATTGCTTGACCTCTTGAGTAATACACGCCGAAGCATTTCAGTTAGAAAGCTTGGGCACCCAGGAGGGAACCACAAGAGACCTAAGGCTGGATGACAACATGTTTAAACGTGTTTTCTTGTTATTCATCACAATGGTGCCTCCAGCCCTTAGGTGCCTGCATACTGTTTCTTGTGAGACTGTTCATACCCCATTATTTACCACTGTCAGTGCTCGTGGAGTCCAGAGAGGGACATCCTTGGAAGGATGTCAGCATCGCTCACCAGCACTGAGGACTAAGCCAGGAGCTCACTTTTCCTCTCATCTTTGTTTTTACATATTAATAATTCTGTTTTACTTTCTCTTCCCATCTGCAGCCCTTCTGTTCCTTGCACCTGCATTTGCAAATCTCAGAGAATCCATATACTTCAGGAAGTATTTCCAGCAAGGAAACTGCTCCAGGGCTATTGGTAGCGACAGGTAAGGAATTTGTTTGTATTTCTGCGCTGCTCAGCCTTGCTTTACCAAGATGCAAGGTTAACAGGTAAGCAGTGGTTACATCAAGCTATTCGGTGGTTGTGGAAGCTAAAGGGGGTTGTCTGTGTGGGGGATGGATTAGCTGAGAGACTTTGCATACATGCATTTTTTTCACACAGCTCTGGATGTTTTTAGTTGGGTATCATCCTACCCCATCTGGAGCCCTGCATATAGTTTTAGGAACCACCCTTCAAGAAAGGTTTAAACAACTTGGAAAGAGCACACTGCAGAGCAGCAGAAATGATTAGAGAGCTAGAAAACATGGCTTATGATAAGAGGTTGCAAGAACTGAGATTATTTAGCACGGAGTAGAGAAGACTGAGTGGGGTTTGGATGAGTCTTCGGATACCCCAAGAGTGATTATAAGGAGAATGGTGATAGACTATTTTCTGCGTCCACTAGGGACAAGTAGTAACGGTCCTAAATTAAGCTGGCTATTAGGAAGAAGTTTCTCGCTCTGAAGGTGGTGAGCAAGGTTCTTTGGGTAGATGCGATATCTTTTATTAGACCAACTAAATAGTTGGGAAAAAGTTCTTTGCAAGCTTTTGGGCACAAGCACCCTTCCTCAGGCATTGGGAGAGTCTGCTGTTGTGCTGAGATCTCCAAAGTAGAAAGGGTATTGGAATAGACTGCCCAGAGGTTGTGAAACCTCCATCCTTAGGCATTTTAAAGAACAGCTTAGACACACTGGGATAGTTTAG